TCTTTCCTGCTCAGGGCAGGAGTCGGACTCAGTGATCTGCTAAGGTCCCTTCTGACTCAAACATCTGTGAATCTATGAAACAGGATGGGGATGAGACAGCATGTTCACAACTTCAGTTCTGATTCTATGATGCTTCTTTTGTATCATTGGTTAGACAGATTGACAGAGACCCTGGGAAAGATGGCCAGTACTACATTCAACATGGAAAGATTTAAGAAATAATAGTACCATTTTGTTTACACAGAAGCTTCAGAAGACTTCATCTAAAATATTCCAAATTGGGGGGGTCCGATTTTGGGGTGTCCATCTTTGCACCCCTAATAAAGGCTGCATTGTCAGAGAAGGGGAACCAAGCACTTCTTGAAATCCGGACCTGGTTTTAGATGTCTCAGGTTAACTGCTTAGAAGTCATGGTTCCCAAAACCTCTAGTCACTTTGGAAAATTTAAGGCCTTAGCTTTCAAATGCCAAAGTGATCTATATTTCTTATTACTAGATGCCGCAGAACAGAAGAGCAGAATGGAGCGCAGTGGATGAGCTGACAGGCAGAACGCAGAGATATCATCTCCAGCCCTAAACTCTGCCAGCCAATCCTGACAAGTAAACACCTCAGCAAGAATCATTGCTACTTTCTCAACAGCGTGCCTTACCCCTCACAAATCTTCTTGATTTTTTGTCGGAGCTGCTCTCCTTGATAGAAGATAATGAACACATTCTTTTTCACCTCTTCTCTCTGAAAGGCAGCGCAAGCAGAATTTCAAGTACACATAACAAAGTAAAACACTATACTGAAAAGTAAAAGTTAAACACTGCTTTGTCATGACTTTGTTTCCCCCAGTAAATTTCCCACCACTGCTTAGAGGGGTTTCAGTAGATGTGAACACAGGGACCATGGTATTAGTTGCAGGGTGGAAGATAACCTTGAGAGGACTGCATCTTTATTTTCCTTTTTTTTTCCTCCCTTAACTTGGTGAAGTTGATGCCAGTCCATGTGGGTATAGTTCCACACTTCCCATGAACAGAATTATGCATTTTTTTATTATCATATGAAAACTTAATGTTAAGGTTGCAAAGTGAAACAGTGAAAAGTCTGGCAATGACAAAGCTATTTTTGGGCAATGTCTTTCCAGCCCAGAGCAGGGGGGCTGGACCCAATGATCTCACAAGGTCTCTTCCAGCCCTAAACTTCTGTCAATCTGTGAGAAAAGGACTGAGCTTCTTAAAAGAGACAACTGCCTGCTGGTGTCGGCAGGGTGTGCAGTGAAAGAAGAGTTCATCATACATAAAGAAACTTACCCACAGAATATACCCTACTCATTTTGAAAATTTCTCCCAGAGGAAACAACAGCTCCAAATACTGGCTAACTGCTCAGGCCAAAGGGACAATAATAAATGCAAAAAGGGGAACAGTAGCATAACTATGCCTGTGAGAATGGGCACCAGCTCCAGATACTGATTTAGACGGGACACCAGAATGGCAGCCCCCACGGAGCTCATGCCACTGCCACCTGCACCATGCTTGAGGCATGGCAGCAGCCCTTGTGAGAGGAAACAAGTGCTCATCACCCCCACCTCACTAGCTCAGGGTGCCAAGATCCCTAGTTGCATCTCTGAGGGGGTAGCAAAGATCCACTGTGTTTCCCATCACCTTTCAGGTCCACCTCCCCTCATGTTGTACAGATTAACCTGATGGAAAACTGAAACTTCAAGATACTTTTGTGTTATCATGACACCAGTCCAAGGTGTTTTTAAAGGCGCACACGTGCAGATCACGTGGGATGGAGGAGAAGCAAGTTCATACCTACCGTAACTGGGTCCTCCAGAGGAGTGTCCATTTCCGTGTACCTCAGGTAGACGTTTCCCCGGCAAGCTCGCCACAGTAAACGCTCAAAGGGGACCATCCTCTCCCTTTTTATCACCCCTGCCGTGAATCTGGGCAGCATTAACAAGACAGATATATCGCAGGCATATTTCAAGTCTTTTAAACTCAGATTGTACCAGGTTTTATAATCCCTTGCTAATGCTTTATAGACCACATTAAGCTGGATTTACAGTCATATTAACATGGGGTGCTATCTTCAGGTGTGGTTGTTACCAGGCAAGGCTTATTCTGAAGTGAAGTTCAGGCCTGGATCTTATTTCTTAACCTACTGACTTCTCTTTTTCTTTTCCTTTTCCTTCTTTTTAGGGGAAGAAGGGGAGCTGAGTGCAGTGGGGTAGAGAGCTTAGCCCATGTCTGTGTTTCAGGATTACACAGCAGGAGGAGGAGAGAGAAACGGGAGGCAGCAGATTCATTTTCTTCTTTGTAGCAAGCGTAATACAGACATTATTGTATAGCAGATGGTCAATGGCAAAAAACGTCTGGCTGACAGTATTGCACCCCTGCCTATACCAGGGGTAGGCAGAGGACCGCTTACTGAGCCATCAAGGGCAGCATGACAGGCAGCCAGGGGCAGATAAATATAATATTTAATATTTATAAATAATATTTAATTTTCTAAATTTTTTAGGGGCCCCACGGGCCAGATAGGATGGCCTGGCAGGTTGCATCCAGCCCACGGGCCGCATTTTGCCCACCCCTGGCCTATACAGTAGCTCCTGCACCAGAGAGACATGTGAATGCTCTGCTTGTGGGCCAATGCATGAGACTTGTCCTTGACCCAGAGGACTCAAGCACAGCTCAGTTTTCTAGCTCCTTCTCTAGCCCAAAGTTACAGTGATGAGGCACAGACCTGAAGCTTTTTTTTAGGCTTTCCTGGAATCATTGCTATTAACAGGGCCATGAAGAGATCACTTGCTTTAGGAAACATTATCATATGGAGGCCAGGGTTTGACCATTACCAGCTGAGCTAGTACTGAACAGGACTTGTATGACTTGTACTGAAAAGTCATAGTCAGAATCATACCACTTAATGTGACTCCCCGCAATTATATCCAAACTCATACAACCCTGAGCACAGACTGTGTGGGTGATTTGTGTGACTGTACATCTGTCTACTAGGAACTGGCTGAAACCCTCTGACTCATTTCTCAGAGGCCACTTAACAGCTGTTAGATGGTCATGATTTTAGGCACCTGCCAACAAAAGACTCGTTTGAACCAAAGACCCAGAGATGGAAGTTCGTCCACCCTATTGACCAAGACTGAACCAAAATGATCAGAAGTTGCAATTCCTGTTCTCTCCTTCAAAACACTAAAATTGCTTTACACTTTAATGAATGAATTACAAATAAGGGATTGGAAACCAACCTGTATTAGGCTATCTAAAGCCAGTACCTGAACGCATCAAATCTTTAAGACTGGCTTGTAGGGCTGAAACCAGATTATGGAAGCTGGTTTCCCATGGTGCTGCTACCACAAATACAAGTAAAATGGAAGATTAAGTTTGCAATAGACTTTTAACTGCTATGAATTTTTAGCAATACTTACCCCAGTTTTGCAGCAGCTGCTGCTGGAGTACTCCTTAATTCCAATAAACCAGACGTGTCTTCACTGAAGAAATCATCCGGCAGACTGGTTTCTGTCTAAATGCAGAAATAAGCATGTTTCTTATGAAATTATTTTGAAAGCCTTGAAAATTTGTCACATATTTGCTGCTGCAACCATCTGTCTGTATGAAGGCAGCTGTTGGATCCAGCTGATGGACATGGGGCTTTGGCAGCACTTGCAGTAGGGGTCTTCGGCAGTGGCATGCACTTCTCCCATACTGGGACAGGGAGAAACGGCGCTGGTGGATAGGTCCTAGCACCCCACCCTCATGAGCTGGGTCATTCCAGCCCATAGCCCAAAAAGGATGCTGACCACTAGTCTAAACAACTTCAGCGCTCAAGTTCCATTTTCAAGAGACCAGAGCCATCAGAAGCAGAAGCTCTATGACTTTCAGTGAGGCTTAAATTTCTGAGTCACTTCTGAAACTTTTATTCCAGACTTGTAGGAAAGGAAGCCTGAGTTCTGTTTAAAAATAAAAAACACACGCACATAACCCTGCCATCGCCACAAAGCCCGCAACATTAACATGTTCAGAAGCCTTCCCCTCTCTGCTGCGAGAAAGGACAGATCACCAAGAGCTCATTCAAGAAACTCTCACCTCAAAGAAGTCCTGTGTTTTCTTCAGCAGATGTTTTAGTTCAGTGAGCTCCAGGAAGTTCTGCTTCAGCGTCTGCTGATTCTGATTAGCTTCCTGCAGCTCGGCCTCCAGTTTCTCCAGAACTGTCTGGTCATAACCAAAGAAAATCAGAAATCAGCAAGGCAGGCCTAATACTCACTCGCCAGGCTGGCACCACATCCCTCTGAAATGGACTGTCAAAAGAATAAAGTAGGAGGAACAGTAACACATGACTGTGAAGTGACCATTTCTAAACATTTGTATTCCTGAAACTGGCTCTTTAGGAATACATCCAATGAATATTAAACATCCCCACTGCCATTTTTCTTGTTAAGTGCAGTGACTCAAAGTGGTATTTAGGCATAAAAAGCACACCAAGGTTTCTATGGGAAGACTGAAGCATTAGGAGAAAGAATCTGTCTTCTCAGTTAAAGAGATAACAGTGGATTTTGGTTTAAATGAATGAATTTGTAAACTTAATTTTCAATTAAATTGAAAGCAAACAACCCCTGCACTTCTGTTCAGGAAACAACTGATATATTACAGTCCCAGTGTGCAATGTGCTGAATGCAAATCCCTGATTTCTGAGTGGCTTCAACTCCGCTTGCTTCACTAACTTACATCTGGGTGGAGAGCTCTAAATGTTAAAGGTGCCCAGATCCTCTAACGTTCAGCCGATAATATTTGCTACAACATACTCTGCTAATTATCAGAGATAAGATCACAGGAAGACAAGGATAGGGAATGAAAATGTGGGGAAAGTAGAAAAATTTAAACATTAGGAACAAGAATCACTGAAGATAATTAAACTGAAGAAATCATGCCAAGAATGTACACTGCTAAAATATGCCAGTCAAGCCTGGATAAAATAACGATAACAAGGACAATCTCAAGAAACCTTGAAATCCAGCTTTACTGTACAATTGTTCAACCTGTCCTTTATATGGATGTGAATCCTGGACTCTGACAAGGGCAAATAGAAAAAGGCTGCAAGTGTTTGAAAACAAAATGCTAAGGAAAATAGTTGGTGCAGTACAAGAAAGCAGAGTATGGAAGAGAAGACAAAAATCAAGAGTTTTGTGGACTTTTACAAAAGACCTGATATCTTGAGCAAAAGCTTTGCTGACAGAAATATGCTGGGGGGGAGTCACACCTGCAGCTGACACATCCTTCCTGCTATTAGCTCATGTTGTTAAGGAGGTACTACCATGCCAGCTGAAGCCTGTTCTCTTACACTGTCTGCACTAAGGGGCTTTGCCCATATTGCTGACAGCCCAGCTGTCAGCTGCAGAGGCTCCATAGTGTCTTGACAAGCCCCTATGAAATGCTATGGTTTTCATGACTGGGAAAGTCTTTGCTGTTAATATATTGGATTGGGACTGGGCAGAGAAAAGCTGATTGGTGAAATCCCTCAGGAGCCCTCAAAAACTCCAGCCTTAATTGATGTGCTGAAACAGTGAAGAATTTCATCATGGACCCAAGGCAGGAAGAGAGGATCTAGCCTTGAACATCATGGTTAAAGCCCCAGATAACACTTCAGGGAAAACCGTGATGACAAGCCAGTAAAGGCTGCAGCTACAGCACAGCAGGTAATAGGACAGGGTCAGAAACAAATGGTACAGATCGGGAACCTGCAGAAACTAACAGGTTTTCCCGATTAAAAAAAGAGGAACAAATGGGCTGCAACTCATAAAACCACCACAATTTATCAGCAGGCTTGTGATGAATTAGTTCCACCTGCGAACACCCTGGAGCAAGCTACACAACTCAAGTCAGGAGTGTTTGATTCCCTTCCGGGGTCTGCTGTGGCTTGGCTGGGTGAGCAGGCAGGTTGTTTAACCTGTTCCTCCATTCCCTCCCCTGTCAAAATGGGGATAATTGAGTAAACTTACCTTTGTAATAAACTGGTCTAGGACTGGTGGTGAAAAATATGGGCAGCATTATTAATCCAACGAGCAGGTTTAGTGCCACAACTACAAAACAATACAGATGAATCTGGGAATATGTCGTCTGTGAATGTTGGCCACTGGCGAGGCATGTTCCTTCACTGGCAAGCCCATGTGAGACGTTAACCATATGCACATAAATATATAATCCCACCACCTCCCTCAGCCCAGGTTTCTCCCTGTGCCTTTAAGGCAGTGCTGAGCTCCGTACCTCCAGATCAATCATTTCTCGAGGCAAGGGGGTCTCTGGATACTTTTCTGATTTGATAATCACAGTCTCGTTTTCCATCTCATTTTCCAGAAAGCCTGCAAGGAAACCACACAGAGGCCTGGCTAAGCTCACCTGAGTGTTGTCAGCATTGGCTGTTTCTAGCTTCTGGATATAGCTTGAGTGGCCTGCATATGACAACAGAGCATTGTGGCCACAGTATCCAAATGCCATTTTATATACAGTCTAGGAGAGTTTGTCAAATCTCTGTGAAAATCCTGGTTATATGAAAATCTCGCTCCAAACTGCTGTCCTCAGCAGCAAGCAAGCTACTCCTTCCAAAGAAAAGACATAATTACATATGCCTTGCCTCAATTACTGAGATAAGTTCATCACAGTCACGAAAGCACAAAATAACTCCCTGGTCAACACACCTGCTCCCTCACAAGAAAGGGCTGTTCCCTGCAAAACCTCAACATAGCAGTTTATCCAGGAAGTCCCAACCTCCACTGGGAGGCCACAGTGCACTGTACTAGACCCTCCCCTTTCTCCTAAATTTTCCGGTCCGTCATTTCATTCTCTAGGCTTATTTAGACACCTGCAAAAGCAGCCCTCTGCCATGCCACTTGGATGTTTACACTCTATTTAGGACTATTGAGTCACACAGATGCACTCTTCCACAAATTAGTGTTGGAAAGGACCTCAGGAGGTCATCTAGCAGGGGGTTGGACTAATGAGCTCCTGAGGTCCCTTCCAACCCTAATTTTCTATGAGTCAATGTGGGGCATCAGCCCTATCAGGGGCTGAACACTGATGGCAATTAATGGGTTTAAAGTTAAGCATGTGCTTCAGGGTTTTGCTGGAACTGTGGTCAGCAGTTGGAGGGGCAGAGTCCTGTTTCACCCAGCTTTATGACATTTAATTCTTTGATGTGAGCTTGCTGAAATAAAGCTGCCCTCAGGAAGCAAGGCAGCTTTCACCTTCCAACGTGATTGGGCTAGCAACTTGAACCAATACAGGTGCACTTACATGTGCATATTAATGTGATGCAATAAACTCCAGTGGTTATTACACCAGAGTTTATGGCTCCCTGGTGAGCATTTACACAGCAGGCAGCCCACACTGAAGCACCTTCATACCCCAGCCAGCTGGGGCAGCTTCTACATGTGTGCTGCTGCTGAGTTTTTACACCTCAGCAAAATAGCACTTCTATTTACAAGTACTGTCCTGCTGTGGAGTAAATTAGTTTACTCCAGCCTAATAGGGGTGATGTGTAGATTTGCAACATTTACTAACTAGTCTACTGCTCAGTAAAAGTCTCATGTAGATGCACCCTAAAGGGAATCTCCTATAGGCAGTGTCTGGTTCTTTAGGCCTCCTTCTGTGGGTATCAGTTGGCTGACTGGGACTCAAGAGACATATATCCTATTCCCAGCCATGGTATTAATGCAGAGCACGGACAGACAAATGTATCCTGGTATAACTGACACCAGATTTTTATATCACTGTCAATTACACTGGAATCAGGAATGGATAGACATACAGCTATCCCAGGCTAGCTCACAGATAGGGCACAATTACAGAGCCTTATACGCTTAGCAAACATCTATCCTAGAATAAATGTGGATAGACAACATAAACACTGGTGCAACTTACACTGATGGAGTTTTACCATGATTCTTCAGCAGTAATTCTTTGCTGGTTTGGACAGTTACCTCAGTTCAGGGGCTTGTTATCTGTCAACTACTCTTACACAATGGTGTCAAGCCAATTTTGTTAGTATAAACATTTTGTCTGTACATGCCCTCATCATGGGACAGTGGCCAGGACTTTTACCCTGTCTGTGCCTCAATGGAACCAGCTATAAAATGAGGAGAACAAGGCTTACCTACTTCTGGAATGGGGTTTGAGATCAATGGATGAATCACACTACTGTATTACCTTTTTCCCCACTTAAAAGTGGAAATTGTAAGGATTTCTGTAGGCAGATTTACTTCTAAAACAGAACCATCCGTTAGCAAGCCCAACCAAAAATGGTGAGCTTCTATAAGTTATAAAAAATAATTATTTTTAAAAATGTTAAACATTGAAAAGTCTTTTAAAACAAATTACTGTTTGTTCACTGATTGCCTGTTTTAAAGGATGGTGTATTTTGCCACAGGAAGTATATTCCAGTGGTCAGAATGCAGGACTCAGACTTGGGAGTCCTGAGTTCAATTTGTAGCTCAGCTACTGATGTGTCCTGTTATTTTATGTTAGTTAGGACCCTGCCAGATGTTCAAATTAAAGCTGGATAGAAACCAGCTATAAAGTTGTTACACATTTTCAAGTGCTAACTTTGTAGCTGGTTGGTTCTTTTTATAGCTGGATGGACATTTTTATGGCACGATCTTTATTATGGATTTGTGCATGTGGACTATGGATTATGGCTTTGTGCATGTGGGCAGTCTAAACTTAGTGCACAATTAACCAGTTAATTGCATAATATATGGCAGGGGGCCATACTTAACCTCTCATTACCCAAATTTGCCCACTTGCAAAATAACAGTGATACCCACCAAACCCACAGTGTGTAGTGAGACTTACTGGTTGCATTTTAAGTGTTTCAGACCCTTCTGATAAAAGGGGAAACAGTGATGAAAATAGCACCATCTTCACAACAAATTCCATTTAATTTGTCTGGTAGCTGGAGAACTTTTTATTTTAATACTAGGATCATTGTGGTTCTAAAGACAAAGCCTTTTACCATTTATCTACTTACGTAGGATCCTCTCCAGGGATTCACATCTTCTCACTTCATTCACAAACTTTCTCTGGAAACTGTTCACGTTCATGTTCAGCTAAAAATGTAAGGAAAACCAAACCCAGTGATGGCTTGTGGTTATATTTAATTCAAATATATATTAGAATTTGTAAAAGATGATGCCTTATGCATTGGTGGACCAACAGACAGTCTTCTAGCCACAGAAGATATGTTACTAGCAGCAGTAGTCAAACTTCCTCAGGATATCAGTGTGCCTCAACCTTGACTGGTATCTTAAGTCCATTCAACTGTGACTTTATGTAGACTATCAAGAAAAGTCTTGACTGAGGTGGAATCATTTGGTTTTACAGAGTTTTAAGGCCAGAAAAGATTACTGGGGACCCTGGGTCTGGCTTCCTGCATGACAAGCTGGACATTTTTGCACAGTGATTCATCTTACCTATTCTCCTGACAAAGCAGTGCCTTTCTCTGTGGTACAGTTCTAATGCAAGTACCAAGGGTGGTACTACTCCTGGGTATGGCACCTTGCCACTTGTGACCAAGGAACCTGACTCAAAATCCTCCAGCTCACATCATCTATGCCACTCTGCAAGCATCAGTCAATCAGCAAAAGATTTGCTGTCCCATGAACAACACTCAGAGCCGTTCTTCCCCCTTTGTTCATTTTAACAATCAAATTTGTGCCTACACATGTCACATTTATTTATTTATTAGGTCTAAACATCTTTTTCATGAGCCTCAGATACAGAAGGCAACCTATTAAAGCACTCATCTGTGGTGGTACAAATCCACCAGAGGTAGCTGAAATGACAACAGAGGACAGGATTGCACTACCGTTTCCTATCTCTAGTGCAGCTTCCACTGCTAACACCACCCCAAAGGAATAGACATTTGTGTCTACCCTACAGGCTCCACCATTGCTGGCATCAGTGCTGACCAGTGCTTAGGCATTTTCCCAGTGTAGATGTCTTCAGAGTGGCCCTCTCTCTCTCTCGCCCTCTCTCTCTCTCCATTAATCCACCCAGAATATTTCAGCCGCTCTTGCTTTTCACCTCAGAAAGTCAGGCACAAATCTCAGTTTCCAGCCTTGTAGCAGAAAGCCCCTTTTCCTCTTGCCTACAGTTGCTCTCCCCTCCTTGGATATGTTTTCCCTCTTCTACCTTTTCTTCCTTCCTCTTTCTTTCACTTTAAGATAAGGAATTGTGTTTTGAAATTTGTGTGTGCGCATTTTGTATCTCCCTTGTATTTTGGTATTTTTATCTATTTGTGTGCCACGGCATTACTTTTGTAGCTTATATTTTATACTCCTCACCTTTCAACTTTCAACTAAATGTGTTTAGTTTCATAAGTAAGTTATACATTGTAACAATGTTAACAAGGGCAGGAATCAAACTGCCCTTCCCTGTATCAGGCTGGCCCCTGAAAGAGGGAGTGAATCAGTGATTGAATGTGTAACATGGTAGCAGACAGCAATTAACACCTAAGGAAACTGCAGCTCAACCAACAGAAGAAATCAATAGAAGACAATGTAACAACCGGGACATCTCTAAACGTCACTGATCAAGGGCTAGAAGCCCTGGCCTGAGTTAATCAACGCCGGGGACCAACTTTTGGGCTGAATATCTCCAAATCGACCGCTCCCAGAGCCCTATTCAAAATTCATCAACGGACTCCCAACCCT